GCTTGAAATACCCTCATGCCCCAGCCAGCTGGGTCAGTGTCTACACAGGTGCTGCTGTGCACAAAGAAAGTCCTCAGCTGGACAGTACTTGTATTTACAAGTACTAACTTGCTACAGAATTTATTAATTTCCTGCTCTCTAATAGGACCGCATGTGTAGATCCCAAGACGTTTACTGCAGAGCTAATTAGGCACTTCTGCAGTAAACATTTTGTGTAGATGCGCCTTATGTTAGGTATTTAGAGATTGCGTGGGGGAGGAATCAATAAATTGTGTGCACGATTTTTATTAATTTTAACAAGAACGTCTTTGTGTAAAATGCTGACTCTTAGGGGAAAATTGGCATGTGGCAAAAACATGTGTCTATTGGGAGCCAAGTGGTGCCAGAGTGTGAAGACTTAATTGTATTAATTTATCAACAAATATATAAGATATTAAAATCAATTTACTTGGAGCAATTCAACAGAAGAACAGAAGGAAACTATCAAATTTATGGTCTTTGACTTCAGTGATAAACTGCAGGTCCTTGTTGCAGTCAGAAAATAAAAGAAACTGTCTGAAAAGGACAGGCTCTGCTTTTTTCCGGAATTGGGAAAAACAATGGGAAGCCTCTTGTCAATCTTCAAAAAAATTCCAAGACAACATCCAACAGTGCTCTGTGAGAATAAGAAAAAAATGGGGAACAAAGGCAACTTATTTTGGGATGAGACAAAAGCAGAGATTCTGTGAGGAAAGATTCAGATGGATATTTTATAGGACATATTCGATCTTGACTGACAGTTGAAATAAGAAATTAAATTAAATTTGCTTGCCTTAATTTTTCTTTCATTCATTTCAAATTGTTTATGTCAGTGAATTATTTTGTTTCAAGTCAAATTGGCTTTAAAGGCTGTATAGTAGATATTTAAATTCTGCATGCAGTAGGTTACTAGATAAGTAAATACCTTACATTTGATCCCAGCCCAAAAGGTTGGTCTAAAGCCCACTGTAGCTAATAGAAAAAGACTTGTATTTACCTTGGTATGCTTTGGATTGGGATGTATAAACTTGACCCAAGAAACTGTGGTATGATGTATTGATTGATGTTGGAAGGTTATAGGATTGCTTTTTATTTTATCATATATTTTAAAATTCATGTTACATATTTAGGTCCCAGTCCTGCACTCAAATTCTTGTGGCAGAATCTTCACCCACGCAGAGCTCCATTGAAGTTAATGAGAGCCTCTCTTTGTACTGGGTTCCTGTTTATCCCATTTTGGACGTTTGCTTTTCGGTACCGTTACCTGTTGTGTATCAGTCATAGTTGAACATTTCCTGATCTACCTAAATCTCTTCCAACACAATTCTGCTTATATATCCCACAATATATAACACATAAACCTTCTATTTGTACAGATCTAATTGCAAGACAGTAGGTACAATTAATACTATAGCAAGACAACTTTATTCTGTCCGGTAAGGATGAACAAAATTAAAATATCAATTTTGATAAGGAATAAGTCACAGATCAATAATTATGTGGTTATTTTTGTTGTGCTTATTGAACTCCTTGTTGATTCATCTTCTTACAGGAAAAGCACTGTTATACAGAATTTATCTTATGCTAGAGACAATCTATATGTTCTTATGTGTAGCAAACTTAAATTTTATTACGTTATTAACATAAAAATGTTTAAAATAATTATATTTTGATGAACTTCTGACATATATTTAAGCTACACTGGTGGTATCATCTTTTAAATGGTTGTACTTTGATATGGAGGAAAAAAGTAAGAAACCTAAAACCATTTGTGGCTAGATTACACAAAAAATAGCAACATACCTTCTGTGTGCAGAAATTAATTGACGTATTATAAATGCATATTACCTATATGGAAAACTGATTGCAAAATCTCATTGCTTTCTAGAACTAGATGTCATTGTTTTAACCTGTTTCTTTTGTCGAAGTTGTAATTGTCTGTCTTTTACAACACATCGATTTTCTTGTCATTTAGCAACCACACACCATAAGGAGTTTCACTGCAAATGGGCAATAAACTGTTAGCAAAGATGAACTTTTAATGAAAGAAGGGTTTTTTTATTTTAAATGGAGCTTGGGAAATCTGGAAAGTGACAAAACTCTTTAAAGGATACTTGGCAAAACTTTCTCTGAGCTATCACTAATAACTTAAGGTTTACCCTGAAATTTTGTTTTAAAATGTGCTATATAGACCATTTCAAATATGCTGTATTTGATCATTTCAAGATTGGAAAAAGAATCAAAAGATTACCAGAATAAGGTATTCGTTTCTTCCTTTAAATAAAATAGCCTCCTTGTTTCCTCCATACGTAGCATTCTACACAACTAATTCCATGTTTCATATACTACAATTTGTAGGAAAAAAAGATAGTTTTGAGATAAAACTTCAGCCCTGTCTCCTAATTTTATTAGCCGTATTGTTTGAAGTTAGATGTGTAATGTTGGTGTATAATTTAGAATCTGATTTCATGTGTCTAATTCCCATATTACTAAAATGTGAGTTCCATTTAAAATGTATTTAATTAGCCTGACACATTAAACATTAAGAGGTTTCCAATTCTCATCCAAGCACCAAAAGCACCTTTAAAAATCAGCATCTAGATGAACTGCATAAATAAAGACTATTAACATCATAAAAGTTATAAATACTTGTAATAAATATATTTTTAAAATTGAAATAAAAATGGCTTGTGTGAGAAATATCTATTATACTTTGAAAATATCCATTGCAAATATTAATTGCTGTGTTTTCTAGTGATTTCTTCCTGAAAAGATTATACTTTATTCACATTTGTTCTATATATATATATAGCTAAATTGGTGCTGCTTTATATATTTGGCCAGAGATTTTATATACCAATGTAAACAGAATTGAGAACAAAATTCTGTCCAGTACCACCAATGAAACAGTTACTTTTGTTATTGAAAATAATCAAATGAGCATTTCAAACTTTACATACATAAATACCCATGTATTTCAGCACTACGATTCTGAACTCTCATTGACAAAATACTATAAGGGGAGGGAATTTCTGAAAAAATTCTAAAAAGCATCATTGATATTTTACATCTATCATTCTCTGGCTTAGCTGGGCTTTCTTAGTTTTCAAAACTAAAGTCTTTATCATTCAAATTAAATATATGTCTTTAACTACTTTTAACTGAGTTTTCTAGACACACAAAGTTCTGAGATGTTTCCCGTGAATTCATTCTATTAATATAAACTTGACTGATGACTTTCTGCTGTATCTTTCTTTTCCCATCTTAGTCTTAGAGGTTTTGTGATAGATTTAACAAATTAGATGCGTTTCCAATAAACAAAATGTAGAGGCTCAAATTTCACTTTTTTCCCTTAAAGTGGAATGCTGTTCTACGGCCAACTGAAAACAAAGCATAGTCCTAATAGATTAAATCTGGTTGCACCAGCTTTAAAAACACATTTTGGCTCCTGTTATCAAAAGAAACGAATCATTCAGCATGTAGAAAACAAGGAAAATATGTAAATACTAATGTAATATCTGCCTATGTTTTGGGGGAGGGGTTCTAAGTTTTTAATATGCTTTAAAAAGTAACTTTAAAATACAGTATTCTGTTATTTAATAACTTGGATTAAAAAAATGAATGGTATTGTCAGAGTAGGATGATGGTGAGTTTGGTTCATACAGGTTTTGACTGGCTACCCTTAATCTAAATGCTTAGCCAAATAAGTTATGCAGAGTCCTCAGGCTTTGCCTGAGGGGCATCTTTTCCCTGTAACTGCAAGTTAAACAGTGTTTTTAGCACAGCTGATGAACTTAACCAGAAAGCCTTTACTATTTCTAGTTCATGTTTAGTGTGAAAACAAAACTCCAACCTGTGCTCCTAAAATAACGACATGATTAGTTATTCTCATCCTTCCTCACCCCCTCTACTTCTGTTTGTAACTCTCATTTCTTGCATCTATCTGCCTTTAGATTGTAAGCATTTAGAGACAGAGACTTCATGGCTCTTTTGAAACCAATGAGAATTGCCATGGACTTCAGTGGAGGCAGGATTTTACATCATGCATTCTGGGTCTTCAGTGAAGTTCCTGAGGTAGTATAAAAGAAGTAATAAAAATTGGCATCATCACAGGCAGATTAAATATAGCTATCAGGCATATGATGATGTGGCATAGAAGGTATCAGTGTTTGGTCACCCTTATTCTAGATGATAACATGATTTCTGCGGTCTATATCTGTCTGAGAGAAACAAGCAGCAGCCAGAGAAGTAGGAAATTGTGAAGGGAGGCTTTCATAGATCATGTGATTCAGCTCTGAAAAGTAACAGTATAAACGGATCACTGAGTTCCCTGTTTAATGTCTCTTTGTGATTCCATGTCAGCTTCACTCTGTTTGCAAGTATTGTATTTCCATACTTCTAGCCCTACAAACTGTCCACAGGGTCTGAAAGCTTGAAAAACACCTCTGTGGGTGCATCTACATGAGATGTTTACTGTGGAGTAGACTAATTAGTCCTGCAGTAAATGTCTCGGTGTCTACATATGCAAGGCTATTAGGCTGGAGTAAACTAATAAACTCGGCAGCAGGATACTACTTGTAAATACAAGTAGTATCCTGCTGTGGAGTTTTTTTACTCAGCAGCAGCACATGCATAAATTCTGACCTGGTTGGCTGGAGCACAAGGGTACTTCAGTGCAGAGGCTGTCTGCCACCTAGTCCCACACTGGATCACCCTCGTGCCTCAGTAAGCCCCTCTGCAGCACGTTGAGCTGGGTCAGAGCAGCCCTAGCCCGGCAGGCTGATCCCCTGGACCCTCTGCTAGTTGGGGCTGTTCCAACCTGGCTCAACATGCTGCGGTTCCAGGTGCACATTCAAACAGCACACCTGAGAGTAATAAACTCTGGTGTGATAAATGCCGTAGTTTATTGTGTCACATTTCATATGCACATGTAGATGTGCCCAGTGTACTTTGGTAACAATTACTATATTCTTATATGCCAGGATTACAGTTATTGATGCACAGGAAAGAAGAACTTGTCCATTTTGTGGTTTTCTTGCATCTTTCATTTAGGTAATGTATAAATCTTATATTCCGACACAATATATTGAATCATGTATTAATGATTTTTAAACTTGATATCTATATTCTTGTATGTACATGCAAGGTAAAATTATTCACCTGTGTTCAGTGGAAGTATTGAAGTAAGGAGATATTTATCAGTAACTTAAATGCCTTACATATCAAGTAATTTCTCTGGAAATAATCCTGAAATATGTACATGTTATTTATGCATGTGAGGATTAAGCTAAGACATTCTTTAAGACTTGCCTAATATATAGCATTCTTGAAGAAGTTGTCTAAATAATAAAATGTGTATCATTTCTTTAAACGCTTCTCAAATTCAGTATACTTCAAACCTTGTCTTTTGGATAGTAGTTTATGTTCTTACATTAACTTTGCTATTGTGGGTGCCGAGTATAGCCGGAATGGGGCCGCGATGGAGTGGAATTAGGCACAAACGCGTACTGGTTGAATTGAAAAGAACTTTACTTACAAACTGACGTACAGGGACTTGCGTCAATGCACACAGTGTAGGCACTCTCCGTACAGGTTACAAAAACAAAGAAGAAACCGGGCGGCACACCGATGTTTCCGAGCATGCAGGGTACGGGGTACGTCGGGACGGTCATCGACGGGGAGTGGTTGGTGGTTGATCAGGCCTCCAATTTTGCTCCAAGGTACATGAGGAACTCGTTCCCAACATGCACGCGGAGTTCTCCGACTTGGGCGGAAACTACCCAAGCTTTTCTACGGCTAGTGAGCCAATTGCTAGCCGCCAGGTATGAATAATTTACGATGAGCCAATCGGTAGCATGCATCCAAACGGTGCAACTGCTAGTTTTGGAGGGAGCTGATCACTGCACCAAGGCTTTTCCCGCCGTAGTGAGGCATCCCTTGCACTGAGTACTCGCATCGTGCTAAGAATTCTGCTGTGTCGAGGCACTTTTAATTACTAAGTACAGACAGCTATAAGCTATTAGGCACTCAAAAATGGAAGGAAAATAGGAGATTTTTTGGTCAGACATGTCTTCATACTGCAAAATATTGAATGTAGCCATATGTACAGCATATGCATTGTACTAGCTTTAAAAAATATTACTTTGCTTTGTATATTCTTAGCCATGTGACAGATATTCCCTGGGTGAAGTTCCTAGCAAATATCTGAGGAAAGTTTCTATAAACAACTTCAAGTATACTTAATTGTGTATGAGACATTTAGACTCTATGTACAAATCAGATTTCTTAAGCGGCAAAATTTCCAAAAGCATCAGTAACACTTACCATTTTTGTTTTCTGAAGGAGAGTCACAAGCACTCAGACCAGATGGTAGTAGGCTTCTGTGACTGCCTACGTCTCCGTCAAGTCAATACATTCCGACAACACAGCAGCTCTTTTCTCCCATTCATGGTCCCCAGATACAGTATGTGCTACACTTGACCTTAAAAAGTAAATTAGGTTAGAAAAAGGAAACAGATTACGTTCCTGCAGCGCATGTGATATCTGACACCAACACTCACTCAAAAGAAAGTAGTGTCATAATAATATGTGATAGGAAATAACATTAAGTCACACTACTGAATCTATCATAGTTTCTGTCATTTATTATATTTCCAGATATCTGGAAATAAACAACTGATGCTGAAAGAAATGTGTTCATATTTGATAAGCTATTAATAATTATTAGAGAGTATTGTTTTGCATATGGTATGTGTGGTATAGCAAATACAGTGTCAAGATACCAAAATATTTGTTATAGGAGTGGATATTGTTTTACCAATGTTTCTCTTTTATGTAAAAGTAGCTTCATTTTAAGTTTGATGAAATTGTTCAGTTGAGTGCAAAGAAGCTAAATATATGTAATACTGAATTTGGTATAGCTGTATATGTAGTACAGGAAGACACCAGCATCTGGATGAGGTAACATACACTTGCAGAAATCACTATTCTAATGAGTAATGTGTTCAAATATTTCTGTTATTAAAACTTCAGTGGTTTTGAAAGAAAATAACAGAAGAGTAATATCCACTTGAGTTAAGGTTTTGTTTGGTTTGGTTTGGTTATTTGTTTATAAAAACTCATTAGCAATAGAAAAAGAACCTATGTGTAGGTAAAGGGATGACCCTGTGTATTTCTGAGCACCGTCAATACCCATCAACCTCTGTGAGTGGAGGAAGGCTTTATTTCCTGTAAGGGAGCTCTTACAGTTTCAGGCCCGAACAGCATTAGAGCAATAGCATACAAATGATACATTCATGGACAGTACAAATAACCTACTGAGTAGGGGTGTGTGAAGCAGGCCCTATTCAGTTTGCATTGGCCCAGAATCAGGGACAGTGATTTGATTCATTGATTCGGATCACTGTCCCTGATTTGATTCGTCCAAATCCGAATCTCAAGATTTGATGCTGATTCACAGAATCAGCGATTCGGACACTGACACAACTTTAAAAGTTTTTTCTACATGCCTTGAGGTAGCAGGCGTGGCTCGTGATCGCTACGATGCTGGGGTGCATGGAGCGTCCATAAGAGTGTGGGAGGGCCATCTATGTGCTTGGTGGCAAACCCAGAAGTGGACTAGAAATACTTCTGGTCCACTTCTGAGCCTGCTGGGGAGCGTGCTGGGGGTTCCCCCCAGCTCAGTGATCGGCCACAGGGGGATCCCAGGTGCCCCCCCACGCCCAGGAGGCACCAGTCGCTGGGGTGTGGGGGGCCCCCACTGCACGCTCCCCGGCGGACCCAGAAGTGCTTCTGGTCCACTTCCAGGTCTGCTGCCAAGCATGCTGGGGACCCTCCCGTGCTTCTGTGGGACACTGCATGTGCCCCAGCATCGCTGAGTTCATGAGCCGCCTGCTACCTAGAGGTATGTAGAAAAAACATTTAAAGCTGTGTCTGTTTGAATCGCTGAATCTTTCTGAATCTCTCTGAATCAATTTGGAGGGTTCTGATTCTATTCAGAGAGATTAAAGGGTCCTCTGATTTGATTTGGATTTGGAGATTCAGCCACTGAATTGGGCTGAATCTCCACCGAATCGAATCAGGGACCAAAGCTTTGCACAGCCCTACTACTGAGCCTAGTACATAGAAAAGCACACAGAAAGAATAAGATGTTTACATTAGGGAAATAGTGAAATAAATACTAATTGTACTAGGAGTTCTGTTAGTTATTAGCACTTATATAAACATTATATATATTCGCATTTTGGTTTTACACCATCAGAGCTTCAGCACAAACAAATAGGAAATAGGAAATCAAGAAGACATAGGATGAGAAATAACATGCAGCCTTTAATTAAGAAACAATCAATTTGCAGGGCATTTTGAAAGTTTGCCCTGTGTGCTATTAAGAGACTAGATTTATTAAAGTTTTGTATCCTCTATGGAAGGAATCCTAGGGGCGATTTCTACTTAACAGATATTTTCCATATATTACATAGACAATTCAGGCTACACACTGCATTGTTATTTGCTTCCAAAGGAGGATTTTACAAGTGAAGGTATGTTCAAGTTTCAAGGTCAATTTAAGTAAAAATTATTTTCACATATATTAGCTCCCTAGCATATTTAGCTCAGACTTGGAAAGTGTTCCCATGGTATGGAAACTGAACAGAAATTTTTGTTGTGAGTGGTTCTAACAAGTTAATAGAAGAAGACAGGACAAATGGAGAGCTTAAAATAGGGCATTTAGAATATTTTTTGATAGAGTCCAAAAAGTTGTATAACAGTTTTTACTTGGGGGAACATTCTTTAATGAAATGTTGTACTAACAGGTAAAGTGATAGATACTTGATGAAAAAAATGTTTCTCAAGAGTGAGAAATGTTCTCTTTTGTGAATGTCTTTAAAGATTGGTTATTCTAATTAATATAACTTAATATCATTAGTAACAACTAGTCTGTGAGCAGAATTTTGAGATAGAAGGAAAGAGGCATTTCTCTTAGGAAGATTTTGTAGTTATATCTGGTATTTATATTTAATGTTAGAGAAATCAAGTAATTTTTTTATCAGTAGGAAAGGCAGAAGGAAGATCTAGAAATGGTAGATACCAGCTAAATCAATTTTACAGTGTTATTGAAGGAAGGAAGGACAGTTGAAATAGTGGGAAATTGCTTACTCTGTCTTCAACCATTTTGGTTTTGTGTAACTGAAGAACAACTCTAAATTTGGGCCCCATGGCCTTGATCCTGTACCTGGGTCTTCACAGGCAGACTGCTGGGCCTGGGTAAAAGTTAATTGATTTCAGCAGTAGCAGAGTCAAAGAAAAGGAGATATGCAAATAGATGGAATTTTGTCCTCATTGGAGTCTATTGGTTATTTGTATAGATGTTGATGTCACTGTTTGCCATGGGCAGGAGTATAAAAGTTCTACCAACCAACTCCATATCAGCAGGGTTTGAATTAACTTTGACTCTGGGTGGGGAGGTTTGCAAAAAAATTTGGCTGGGGTTGGGCCTGAGCACATGGGCTCCCACCGGTACCGCAGGGCTAGGGCCAGCGGTGGTGGCAGCAGCTGGAAGGAGATGGAGATTTAATTGCTGGTGAAAATCTATAGTAGCTCCTCTCTGTGCTGCCATAGTGTGCTATATCTCAGGACCAGAATGCTGCTGTGAGAAGGCAACAGACTGAAGGCATGGATTATGGAGCAGGTATGTAGCTGCCTAACTCCTATTGACGCCTGCAGAATCAGAGCCATAACATCAGGAGGAACCTGACACCATAAATTACAAAAGATTAAGGTGTTGTGTTATAAGAAAAGCCAGAAATAAGAACAGATGGGGTTAACACACACAACATTTAAAAAAATAGACACAGGTTTAAAATAAATACAAATAATTCTCCAGCATATAGAAACACGTTCAAGTGCCAAACAATTTCCACTCCACCCATTACAGTACTTGGGAAACAAGTTATATTGACATTATAATCATTCATTAAAACTATTTAAAAGAATAATAATGGCATCCTTGGCATTTTTATTCAGATAAGATTGCTAAACCTTCCCACGCCTAGAGAAACAGATGTGTAAAAACATCCATCATGCAAACCTTTGCCACCTAGAGGTGCGCGTGTCCATTGTGAAGATAGCAGTTTGTGAGGACAGCAATATTACTAAGGTAACTTTTGAACAAGGAGGCCCTTGGTACACATTACACTGTGAGCTGCACAAATGTTGATCAACTTAGTGCTAACTTGCAGTCATACCTTCAATTTAGGCAGCACATCTGTGGGGAGCAGCCACACCTTAATAGAACAGGAGCTGGGTTATGCGGATCAAGAGATAATCCTGCCCTGGAGTGGTGCAACTTTGAGCCACATAATGCATGATTTAAGCCAGTGGTTCTCAACCTTTTTTGTTCCCGGACCCATTTGCCAAATCGATGGCTTATCCTGACCCACACCTCCCAGCCCTGCTGGTGCCTGACCCAAAGGCTAGCGGTGCACCAATACATTGGTCCCATATTGGATCAGCACCGATATACAGAAAAATTGACAATATTGGAAATCAGCTTTTTTTGCCTGATGTGGCTGATAATATGGACAGTCAATGCCCTGTGTATGCGCACAGCCACAGCATGCATGTGGCCAGGAGCACAGCCCAGCGGCTTGGAGACCAGCATCGGGCTGGTAAGTCTGTTGTGGGCATGAATGGTGGGTGCCCCTGGCGGCTGCAGGGGCACAGCAGTGCTGGTGGCAGTGGGAGTGCGGTGGTGGTAAGCAGGGAGCTCCCACAGATGCCACCAGCGCTGTCGGTGGCGGGAGGTGCGGGGGGTGGCAAACACCGACCAGGGATCGGCGACCACCCACAGACGCTGCTGGCAGCATTGGCAGCAGCCAGCAGTGATCGCTGACTGCCTGCAGACACCGCCTATGGTGTCAGCAGTGAGGGGGGTGGCGGCAAGTGGCAACCACCTGCAGGTGCTGCCAACAGTGTTGGCGGTGCCTTTTCATAGCAGCTGCTCTGTCACACTCAGGGGGTGCACCCCCTATGCATCGCCAATGGTTGTGCTACCAGTAATGCCTTAAGCCCAGTGACACCTTGCCAACCTCTTTGGCGAGCCTGCCACAAACCAGCCTCCCCGAGTGCCTTCCTCACCCCTTCCTCTGCCACCCTGCTGCCTGTGCCCCCCTGGGCCTGCCACACGTGCACGGGCTGCCCGGGCCACTGGTGGCCCCATCCCACAGGGGTAAGGCTGCTACATGCTTCTGTCTGTTTAATAATGAAGACGTTTAATTTAATTTATTTTAATTTAAATGTTTCATGTAATTGCTTTATATCCCGGGCGGTGGTATGGGAGCCGCAGCCAGGGCAGGCAAAGCCCAGCTGGCATCCGTGCAAGCCGCGACTGCCGCTTCGCCCCCCCCAGCCCGGGCAGCCGGGCCTGTTCCCCTACGCCAATGACGTAGCGCTACGCCGCGCTCCTGCGCAAGCAGCGTTCGGGCCCCTTACAGCGCACCTGCTCCGCGGGCAGGGTTCACGGCACTCAGCAGTTCTGCCCGCGACCAAGAGGGCAGTTGCCCGCTACCAAGATGGCCGTCGCTGCTTCCATTCGGAGGCCGGTGCCCTTAGCAAACATGGCCGCCGTGCTTGCCCTCCCACCCCCTGGCAGGGCCGGGGTGTTTCCTGGTTGCCTTCAACAAAGATGGTGGCTCCGGTGCGGGCCGGGGCTGGGCCCGTGCGGAGTGGGTAGCGCCCGAGTGTAAGTACATGGCAGCGCGGGCAGGGGCTGCGGGCCTCGCTCCCCGAGAGGGGCCTTCACCCCGGGCGAGGCAGGAGGCGGGCGGCTGCCTCCCTCTGTCCCTCCCTCCCGGCGTGTGCGGTGGGGCTCAGTGACACCTGCCAGCGGCCATCCCCGCCTCCTGGGCGAGGGGGCTTGGCAGTGCCCAACTGCCCCTGCCCCTGGGGGCTCTGTGGCTGAGAGGCCCACTCTTGTCAAGAAGCTGGGGGCAGACCAGCCCCTGCCCTCCGCCAGGATAGGGCACTGCTCTCTGGTGCTGCCTGCCCATCGTGTTTGCCCGGCCTCGTGCCGGACTCGCCCTGGCACCTTTCAGGGAAGGACTTCCAGGGGCCCCCCTGCCAGCTCGCCCACGAAACTGCAACACCTCTGAGCCCCGCCCAGGAGGTGCCAGCGTGTTTGTGCCGAGAGCCAGGTTTTACTGAAGCACTGGGGCACGTTTCGGTGGAGGGACGCAGCCCTGGGCTTGTGCAGCTGGATGTACGCGCAGGTCATGGGCATGTGCAGCCGCGCTTGGGAAAACAAGTCTTGGATTCTGCCCCTGAAACTGAAAAAATAACATATTTCAGAGAACTTGGAGGAACTTTTGATTTGGGCCTTACTTGAGGAGAGAGCTGTTTTCCGGGATGGGGGTAAGCTGAGGTTTATCAATAAAAGTAGACTGAAAAAAAAGAGGGTGAACTCTCATGGCAGTAGCTGGGGTAGTGGGGGAGTGCTCTTCATGCCAGCAAAGGAAAGGTAAGTGGGGTGAAGGGGGGAGCAGCTTCCTTGCTTTTAGCTGTGGCCCTGTAAACCCTGCTTCCAGGTTGAGTTTGCATCAGAGCCTTATCAGGATCCCAGGTCTGCTGTTTAGCTCCACGTCTCCAAACCAGAATCTAGTTCCTGAGAGCTCTTCCTAGCCTGAAAACCTTTAGAGAAACTCTAATATCTCAGGTGATGCCTAGAAACCATAGAAGCTCCAGGCCTGTGAGTCACTCCAAGGAATACCTCTGTGCTGAGAAACTTCCTGGAGTGCAGCCTTAGCACCTAAGATTTAACCCCATCCAATTCTCTGGGTCAAACATGTATGTAATTAAGTAGGACAAATGTCAGGTTCCAAATCTGTGGCTTTATAAGTAGAATTAAGGAGGCTGATAGTTTAGGAGGTCCAACTTGTGATGCCTTAGAGGGGGACCTGATTTTAAAGTTTCTGCTATCTAAAAGTCAGGCTCCTTAGGGGTGTCTTTTGTGGTTTTCTGGGACTGTCATTGTTCACTTTTGAGAGGCTTGGTCTAAGTTCACATTAAAAAGGTCTCCTATAAGGGACTGGAAAAATCTGATTTCCCTTTATCTTAGTGCTGAGGTAGAGCCCTTGCAGTCAAGATGCTGCATCATCAAACTGTCAGGCCCCTTGTCTAGTTATCAGTAATTAACTTTTTAATCATGCTTGCCATGCACTCATACTTGCGGAAATTACTTGGCCTGTGATGTTACTTTCCAGCTCAGTGGAGCTTGAGAGAGCATTTAAATGTGAGACCAGAATTTTCCTTTGCAAATGCCACTAACGTGTCTGGGGAAGGACTTGCTAGTGCACCAGATTGGAGACTCAGGTTCAGTTGCCAGCTCCTTCAGTAACTCGTGCTGAGGTGCTGGAGTAGGGGTTTGCGTTCAGCATCTTTATCAGGAAGGGATACACCCTTGATGTGACTTGCGGTGAGTTGCCTTTTCTTTCTGGGCCTTGGTTCCTGTTCTATAGAGAAGAGAGAATACTCTCTCCTTTTCCTCTTTGGTGGTTAGACTCTGGAATGAAGGTAGGATAGGATCAGATTACTCGGGATAAACAGATTCGATGCGTAAACACCAACATGGGAAAAGAACTACTTATGTTAAAGGACAATACCAGGACAAGAACAAGCAGGTATAATCTAGCCTTAATATATTTAGGTTTGAACTTAGAAGAAAGTTTCTAAGTATGAGAGCAATGATGTTCTGGAACAGCCTTCCAGTCATAGGCAGCAGAAGGCCAGGGCTAACAGGGCTTAGGTCCCCCACCCCCCAATAGTTTTGTGGCAGCCAGCAACAGCAGCAGCACCACGCCCTGCTGCCATAGTGCCATGTCTAGCACCCCCACTGCATGCTCTTTTGCCACCACATACAGTACCACAGTGCACCGGCCCCCCAGTGGTCCTGCGGGAGGGAGAGGCAGAGGTCAGGTGGGCAGGTAGCCTCCCCAGATAATATTTTCTTCTGCCACCTATGCTTCCAGTGGGAGTAGTGTGGGCAAAAACCCTAACTCTAAGCTGAAACTTGGTACATTTGTAAGTTGTGGTTGTCTGTGGTTGTAGATGCAAATTCAGAAGGGCTCTTCCAGTCATATCTGCTGATGAAAACACCTATTATCTTAGTATATGATGCCCATGAAATGTACACGGCTGAACACGGCTGAATGGTGATATGTATCCCACCATGATCACTCTTATTATATTTTGGTTTGCTTCCAAACATAATGTACGATTTCCTGATGTTAAAGTCTGAAATTCTTCAATCTTACATCTCCTGTTTCTTTTCTCACAACCTTGTGACAGGATGGATGCCAGAGACAAGCAGCTTCTGCGCTCCCTGCGGCTGGAGCTCTCCACAGAGGTGCTGATGGAAGGACTTGTCATTCAGTACCTCTATCAGGAAGGGATTCTAACAGAAAACCATGTTCAAGAAATAAGGTCCCAGACCACCAGTCAGAGACAAACAATGATGCTTCTTGATATCCTTCCTACCAGAGGACCCAAGGCCTTCGATGTATTTCTGGATTCATTACAGGAATTTCCTTGGGTTAGAGACAAATTAAAGACAAAGCGCAAAGAAATTGTGCCTGAGGAGCCTGCAGGTAAGACCAGAGTGCATTGCTGGAATTTTGAAGGTCCCGTCCTATCCCGTCCTGTCCGTCTGTCCGTGTTGTCCTGTCCGTCCATCTGGTTATCAAGTAGCAGCACTTAGGAATGTACTGTTACTGCAAGTAATTCACAGCTTAGGTGACAGTGAGGATATGCCATCTAGAAAAGTGGTTTATGTTGTCCAGAGCAGGCCAGAAGCTGCAGTTCTTGGGAGGTAGTAGGCAGTACTTTGTACTGTCTAGAAGGAGCAGAGGTAAGGTGATCATCTGTCCCGTTTTTCCTGGGACTGTCCTGGATGTTGGAGGATAATCCTGGGCCTATTACACCCTGTTTAAGTCCTGAAAATCCTTTAATGCATCTACTTTTAAATCAAGCCCTCTATCTTATATTGTTATTTGATAAGCAAGGATCCTGTTTTTTTCTGTTAAAAATCCAAAATTTTCTGTGGCAAACAGAAAACCCAGATCCCTGCTGATAAGGAAATACGTTGGACTGTAGGTATCTGTGGTCATGCCATCCAAATTATGGACTACTGCGTAATTACACGGAGTGGGAGCTAACAGGTATAGTTGCCTAAACTTTTTTATTCTAATAGCTTGTTTTCTGGTATATCTGGGTTTCCAAAATAGGTTACTTTCCACACTGAAATTGTTTAGGCATGGTCTTTGCTTGAAAGAGAGTCTTCGTAGTTGAAATATTTTATCCAAATATGTTTAAGAAGAAATAAATTTATAATAATAATAACCGGTGGGGGCACATTTCTCACAGGAGGGCCACTCTCTCTCCAATCTCTCAGTCCTGATCCTCAAGGGAAACTTACACAACACTTCCCAGAGACGAGCCTATGAGCTCCATTTCATCAACCTCCTGAATACTAGAGATCAGGGACTAAACATAGGCATTGGATTTTTGATGCATTATAATCTGCCTGGCAACTGACTCCCCCGCCCAGCCCAGCCCCTGGCTTGTTTACTTTTCATTCCATCCAGGAAGAGCATGCACCAACTGCTGAAGCTTCCTTAGCCTGACGAAGGGTTTTTGAACCCAAAAACTTGCTTAATAACTATTCTCCAACCATTTGGGTTGGTCTAATAAAAGATATCAAATTCATCCAAGGAACCTTGTCTGCCTATAATAACAATAATGCACCTGTAACCCTAAACTAGGGTGGTGCAGTATCTTTTTTAGTACAATATTAGCATTGTGTATGGCCCTATATGTGATTCACAAGATAAACCCAGAAATTTCAAGTAGGAACTCAGTGTCAAAAACATGTTTGCAAGAGAAGACTTGTTCTGTTTTTCCATAATCAAAAACAGTGTGAAAGTTAAGAGCTGGCATTTTCTGAGGGGTACCTTGAGTTTAAAAAGGTTGAGAAGCACTGCAATAACATTTTTGCCATCATAAAAAATGTTCTTGCAGTACATTTAGAATAGTTGCAATGCCAAAATGGCTGCTGGAGGCAGAATGGGGAGGGGGGCATCTGAAGTCCTCACTAGAGAACACTGCCTTTGAGTCTTCCCATAAAAGCTGGCCTGTAGTGGATCATAGTATTGTGAGTGATTGAAAAATTGCCCTTTGCAGGTGTGGTCTTACATGAGGTGAGTTTTTCTAAACTTGCAAAGGCACATAGCTGTGGAAGATTGGGTCAGGTGTGCGAATATATATGCGTGATCTGGTTGCACTGTGAATAATATTTAGTGTGTGGTGGCAGAGCCACCCACCTCACTGTGCCAGGCCTAAAACCATGCTTCAGGAGTCTCCCTGGGGAGCCTGCAGCCGCCTGTCCCCTTTCCTGGAGAACGCCTGCCTCCCTGGGGTAATGCTGCCACCACCCAGGCACTGGTCTCTGGTACAGCTTTGTGCAGCCTGGGGCACACAGAGCCTGCAAGCCTAGGGAGTGCTTTGCCCACAGTGATATTTCGGGGTGCTCCTTTTAGCCCAAAGCATCCAAAGATAGCATCAGATACTGGAAGAAAATAAAAAGCCAAGCCCAGTTTTACTAGCCAAGTAAAGGGAGCAAAAAGGCCTGCCTCTCCCCAGGAATTCAGACAGGCACTTTGTAACCTGATACCTTTATTGAAGGGGGGTGTAGAACAATGAGGCCAGAATACCCATTGAGCAAACATAATCAAACAGAGTTGTTTACAGTCTTGGACATAATAATCCTTTTACAATGCATCTGCCTATATTTATTCCTAGACTTCTGGCTAGTTTCCAGGCTTTTACTTACAGGGCATCATCCAAGCTGGAGCCTGGAGGTATGTGCTTGTTGCTTTGAAAATGCCCTTGGAGGAAGAGAGCATTCCCCAGTCCCTGAGTCAGGGAGGGGTTCCCCTGGACTGGCCTAATTGAGAGGCAGAGATTTCTTCACACAGTGAAGGTACATGGATTAGTGGTTCTCGTTCAATGCACATCTTACATAGGGGTAGTCAATGAGGCACAGCAAATATTATGTACAACCATTTCTTCATTTGTGGTGCATCTTTGGTGCAGGCCTGATTTAAAGGTAACCAAGGTACTTTGGGGTCTTTCAATTAAATGCAATGATCCCTAGCTTTCTTTTATTATTGTTATATTGTCGCATGTACTTTGTATAAAATGATGGCACTCATACCCCATGCACACAGAAAGGGCTAGCTGGGAGGGTTTGGAAAACTTGCACTGCTAGTTTTCCTCTATGGTTATGGTCAGGTTGAATAGGGGTGCGATTGGTTTCATTCTCTTGAAACTTGGAAAATTTCGGAAAAAGGTGTACAGTCAGAACGACACTGTTACTAATAAATTTAAAAAAAAAAAGGTTCTACGAATGTGTACCTAGGTTTTTAAGGGGGAAGGGAAAGGAGCAATAGTATATGGTATTGTTTGAGAAATGGTATGTGATAAGATTTGGAATAATTCACTGCTCATTGATATTGGTATTAGTCTTTTTTGGTTCGGTGACCTGATGTATGATTCACATCTCTATGGATGAGGTCAGATTTTCTTCTCTTCTCTGAGGACAGGCTCTTTTATTATACATACGAAGTGGTAGAATCAGGATTGGGTGTAGGATGCAAGCTTAAATTTGCTGTGTTCTGATTGCATGTCCTTTTTTCCCTAAAATACTATGAAAGCCGCTCTTTTGTTTGAGCTGTGTAAACAATGTTTTATGTTTCCTCTCTGGCTACAGCAATGGGAAAATAGCTTTCATTATTTTTTTACTCCAAAAATCATATATTGTAGGTAGCTTATATAAGGTCTAATAACAACGAACAACTCTACTATTAAAAAGTGTTGAGAAACACCTTGTCACTGTGGTGACACCATTCTGATCTTTTTTTTTTATTTGCCTTAGGTTGGTGTGTGTACATTCATTATTTATCAGTTTGTCAGATGAATAATCCTTCCAGTTGTACTCACAGAACCATTACACAGGGTCAGCATTGTGCAGCTTGGTGCTAGAAGGAGAGTTTCAAAATTCATTATTATTTTTATTCTATAGTGGACGGTTTCTTATTACAGGCAATAATTTGTGACTAATGTGCTGTATGTTCCCAGCAGGTTCTTTGGTTTTGAGTGGGTTGCCTACACTTGATCCTCCTCTTTCCAAACTGGCATGTAATTTAGTAAAGAGCTCTAGATTAGGTTAAAGATTACCATTATTTTTGTTGTGGCAACCCAAAGGCAAAAAACAAGATAACAAGCAATTAGTCGTGCCCTATTTTAGTATTTGGACTTGTAGTGGAGGAACTAGAAAGAGAACACGCTCAATACCTTAATAAGCAACAAATTACTCTAAAAATATGTATCTGTGTCTAGCAGTATCATCAGGGCTGCTTTCTCATAAACACACATGGCTTGACATGAGAAGCCACATGCTTTGTTTTAAACAACAAATGTTAAATTCTTGTCCATTTTTAAAAGTATAGAAGGGAAGAAAGAAACTACATTGGCCAGCTGCACAAGATAGAATAATTAAGAAGGAGAGTATTTTCCAAGTTTATAAGAGAGAATTATGGACAGTGGAACTCCATGAACGGACTTCAATATGCGACTTTGCACTCCTCTCCATCAAAGCACATGAGAATATGCATGAGTTAAAGTTTGTAAGGAGTTCCATGGAAGAGAGTGAGACTATTTACTTAGCACGTAAGCACATGCTTTGAGTTAATTTCTTGGAAAAGTGCTCTTTGTGGTATTGTTCTAGTGATGTTGTAGCCGTGTTGGTCCATAGACCAACTGTGTAGATGGAAAAGAATTAGACAAGCTTTTGAATTCAAAAGGGACCTGAGAAGGATGTTCCCTAAAGAAATCCTTTCTCTTTGTGTGACTAAAAGGGGGCAGTAATATTGTATACTGATGCAAAGTGTACTTTTGTTAGCACTTACTGTTGACTATAGCAGGACTGGGCTCTAGGAGCAGCTGTGATACCCTCTGGTGGCAAATGACTACTGCCTTACTCAGGTTCTAGCTACCCTTCCTTCCATTCTTTCCTACCAGGCCTTGATGTAATTGTTAGAGCTAGGGGTGCAGCAATAAAAAATGTTTTGACTGACACCGATGGCCGATTATTAGCCAGCCATATCAGCTGATACCTATCCAAGAGCTGATATGAAGCCTGGCAGCTTGGAGACCAGCATCTGGCCAGTAAGTCTGTGGGGGGGGAAGAGGCGTGGGGGTGCCAGGTTAAGGCCCCCATGGTGAAGGAGGGAATGGGGCTGGGGCAGAATATGGGATGGAGCCATGGGTACCTTGTCTGGGGGGCACAGGGAGTGGGGATGGCTCCATCTGCTGCATACACCCTCGGGAGAGGCATGTGCCCCCCACATTTGTGCACAGGGCAAGGATGGTTTGTGGGCTTAGGTCTAGGGGCAGTGCCAGTGTCTTCCAGGCGGGGCGGGGGAGGGGGCTGGGGCAGGGCTGTGCTTGGGACAGGCATCACTGGGTGGGGGAGCTACAGGGTAGAGTTTATGTTTTGGGGTCACTGTAGCCCACCCTGTAGCCCCCTTCC